ACTCTCTGGGTCTGCATCAAAACGCCTCCTGGACCTCATAACGATGCATCTATGTAGACAACAAAAGTCTTATCACTGCTAGGGATAATCAACTTTAGGGATGTAGTCAACTTAGCCTTTAAAGTCTCAAAGGCCTTTTGGCACTATGGCCCCCCAAAAAACTGTACACATTTCTTCATAAGATATGTCAGCAGGGCAGCAATCTTAGAGAAGTCCTGAATAAACTTCCTATAATAGCCAGCCAGATCGAAAAAGCTACGAATCTCTATAATAGTCTTCGGCGGCTCCCAATCTAGAACTGCCTCCACTTTGGCTGGATCCACCTTGCTAATAGCATGGCCCAAAAATCTAACCTCAGATAGCCAAAACTCATATTTGCTAGATTTCACGTATAGCTGGTGCTCCCGTAAAGTCTGCATTGCTAATCGAATATGTTGCTCATGCTCGACCTCCGATCTCGAGTAGATGAGGATGTCACCGATAAATACAATCACGAAGTGGTCCAAGTATGGACAAAAAACTCGGTTGATCAAATCCATAAATACCGCGGGTGTATTAGTCAGCCCAAATAGCATAATAAGAAACTCGAAGGACTCATATCTAGTCAGAAATGCGGTCTTGGGGATATTCATCTCCCGAACCCATAACTGATGATAACCAGAACGAAGATCAATCTTCAAGAAACACTACGCTCCCTGCAACTGGTAGAATAAGTCATCAATTCTCGGTAGTGGATACATGTTTCGGATGGTGAACTTATTCAACTCACGATAATTTATGCACAAACGCATGCTGCTATCCTTCTTCTTCATGAAGAGGACCAGTGCTCCCCATAGAGAATGACTTCGACAAATAAAACCCTGAGCAATGAGCTCCTCTAACTGAGTCCGTAGCTCCCTCATCTCAACATGTGCCATACTATAATGTGCACGGGAGATCGATGTTGTGACCTGTTGTAACTCAATACAAAACTCAACCTCTCTCACTAGAGGTAATCCAGGTATGTCCTGAAAGACATCTTGATACTCTGAGACGACTCTGGTCTCGCACAAATCAGCTCCCCGATCTTGAAACAATACCTCCTCAACATATACCAGAAAAGACTCTACAAACTGGTTGCCCTGTGAGGTCACTACAACCAACTCAATCCCATCGGACTTTCGCAAGCTAACTGTTTTCGCAAAACAGTCGATATTGACATGGTAGAAAGATAACCAATCCATACCAAGAATCACATCGAATTCAGACATGCACAAGACAATTAAATCGACTATGAACTCAGACTCGACTAGGCTAACAAAACATCTTCTACAGTTACTCTCTAAGAAGGACACCTCTACTAAAGGAGTAGAAACTAACAAAGGAATATCTAAAGGTTGTGCATCTAGATGAAGCTTAACCATGAAAGCATAATAGATGAACAAATGCGAAGCTCAAGATAAAAAAGAATATGGGCTGGGAAGGAGTTCACAAGGAACGATACCTTCCACTATAGCCCCGCTAGCACCATGGTCATGTGGCACGACTGCATAAACCCTGCCAATAGCTGTAGATTGCTGTCCGGTAGACTATGAAATGTATGAGATCATCTATCCCTAAGATATCTCCTGGATGGCATGTACCTAGACCTTGATCCTCGAAATGGTTAGTGGTGTCTTAATCCTCTACTGCTGGCCCTAAACTCGGCCATGTCCTCGGTTCTACTGCTGACCCTGACCCTAAAATCAATCCTCTACTTATTTCAATTATAGCACATTCCTTAAAACTGGCGCTACTTTGGCGCTCTCTGATTTTGTTGTTTCTTTTGACAAGCACCTTGCTGCTGCTATTGCTAACCACTCAGATGAGGTCCACTCTACTACTAAGGTCCTCCAGGTCCTGCAAATGATCTCTTACCCTTGATTTTCTCCGTGGACTGTCCTGCTTTAGAGCTTCTCTCTTGCTCTGTGGCTCTATTAACAACTGGTGGTGGTGCAACTGCTGGTGATGCCTCTGTAATAGGCACAGCTGGCATGACTGGTGGTGGAACAATAAGATATTGTGAGCGCCTTACTCAGCATCATTATTTTCTTATAGAGGATTATATGGATTTGTATTTATACTCACATGTTATTTACCCTGAGTGTAGGGTATAAGACTGAGGTTGTCTTACACGACGTTTGCTATACGAGATTCTTTTACCAGATTATTATTATTCTTGTGACTGCGCTACCTACCCGAGGCTAGTGTGAGATATTTTAACACGACTTGTATTGAATGAGGCTTTGTAATGAATAGCTTTTATTTAATCTTGTATTCATAGGATTTTGGAGTTAGTATTTAGCGATTCACATATTGAGATACATGGTGTATATATGAGGGTTTCCTTGTTTTGATTATTTTGTTCGACGTACTCATCTCGTGTTGTGGGTTTCTGAATCTTAACTTCTCTTAGTAAAGGGTAAATGATATAGGTAGATTATGCATATTTTAGGTAGAGCCTCCGTTATATAAGTTAGCCCTTCCCCTAGGGGCGACGGAGATGTTCTTGCTAGCGCTCTGACGCTGTTGTTGTTATTTTTTTTCTTTTTCTCTTTTCAGGTAGCGGGTCAAAGTTCCGAAGAGTTGTAGGTTGACGGAGATTTTGCCTAGTCGCCGTCTTTAGGTTAAATGACTAGTTTTGAGATAAACTAGGGCGTGGTGTTTTAAGCCAATTTAATCAGGTCTGTGATTTAGGAGAACACGATCATAGTGAGGAAGCCCCTTTGTAAGAAGGAAGAATAGATATAGGATTGTTATCCGAACAACTATAAAAATCTTGTGTGTTCTGGTTGTTTTGTCTGTGATGTATTAATTGTGTAATGTTTTTATCATTATCATATTATTTCCACTACAGTTTTTTGCGATATCAAAAAACAATAGGCAATCATTTTCACCCCTCCCTCTTTCCTTTAGGCTTGCATCTCAGATTTAACAATGTGTTGATGTCCTTCTTTACTAATTATAAACATTAACATTTATGCTCTAAAATGTGTCATGATTTCCTTCTTATTTACCTACATGATTTTCTACGGAAGACCCCCAATATGTTAACACTTAACACTAGCAACAATGTTAAGGTTGCTAGATTGAGTCAGTACTTCAACAGTTGAAGCCTAGGGTTATCTCTTTAAATAATTGACATGTAAATAAACACTTTGAATTGCCTAGCATGGACACAAAATTAGCCTCAAGGGAAAATGTGGAGAGAGTAAGAGCATGATTGACGACCGCCCAAAGTAGGATCAAGAATGATCCTAATCCTATCCTATGAAGTGTCTTTTTTGCAGGGGGAAAAAAGGTTAGTATTAGCCCAGTGTTTTCTTGGCCAAAAAATGCTTTTAAAGGGTTCTGCTTTGATCCACCCTCTCCCATGAACAAAAGAAAATTAGTTTATCTCAAACTAACTAGCTCTAAATTTTGAAAAATTAAAAATAAAATCAAAAACTTGTTTGTAGTAGTTCAGTTGTGATGCTGCACCTACTAATTGAGTTTGGTAATTTAGACCAAAATCAAGGAGATATCTAGTTTGAAAATGAAGTACCTAGCAACATATTCACAAATCCTCAACTTCGTATAGTTCTCATTCTCATATCGTTTTTGCTTTTCACATTCTCTTTATGTGTCTTATTTCACGTTTATTATGTCCAAGCGTCCTGAGTTTTTTATCCTTGCAGTCAATTTTTGACCTTTTTAAATCAGTTTGGTTCCTCAAAGATCGCCCTATGATCTTACATGTTTAAGTATTTTTGGATTACGTAAAGAACTTCCTCATATTATAGGGTTAATAAGAGATTGCAAATTTCAGCATGGATTTGATGTCTCGGAGGCGACAGGATCTAACAAAGCATGTCATAGATAGAATTGAAGCGGGAAGTTCGGTGAGGTAACATTTGAGGTAAGCATGTCTTGTTGCGCTCTTCTCTGTCACCTACAAGCTTGAATAAGGGGGATGCACACATGGATAACTCATCAAGAGGCCAAGGTTGAATCTTTGCCAAAGCCCCTCTAATACTCAAGCAGTTGGTTGTAGCTGAACCACAAGCTATAATCAAAGGAGCTTTGAACTTTACCAGAAAAGGAAATTAATTAAAGAAGGGGTATAGGGTCTTCCCTCCTATCTTCTCGCATAACGCGAGGTTATGTGCCTTAAAGAGCTAGATTACCTTAAAGAGAGTGAGGAGCTAAAGGGAAGAGGGACAAAATTTTGGTCTCTCTTTCGTGAAGATGAGTACTTGATTGGTGGTGTGGCTCTAAAAAATCCCAAATTTTCCTCCTTTAAGCGGTTATAACTTTACTCGTTTTTGTGTGTGTATGCGATGCCAGTGATTCATGACCTGTGTTAGACAAGTGGCAACACAACTCTCCTAGTCGCAAATGGACTTTTCGCGGCTTCAAATCCCAGAGCAATGTCCTCAAGGGAACAATGTCTACCGCATTATGTTCAGGGTGGCCCTAGAATAGGGTGACCCAAAAGACCAGCGATATTTTTTTTGTATGAAACTTATTTGAGGCATGGATAGTTGGCGGATATGAACCCTGTTTGAGGAATAATGGTTGACGTCTCATTTCTGAATTACGCTAGAGGAGGGGGAACTGTCAATGCATATATCCCAATTTGAGTTTAGATGGGAGCCTTTGATTCCCTTGTAAAACAGGAGGCGAAAGAAATAATATGATAGAAAGAGTAATATCATTACAGAATCCTAACAAAAGGAAAAAAATAAAAACAGATATTGAATATTTACAAATAATGCTGACAAACAATCTGGGAAAGAAACTGACGATTTCTTTTTAGGGTGGGACGGGCAAAGTGGTAAATTAACTAGAAAGATAAACAGAAAAGACAAAGTTGTCCCTGATATATTATTTTGTATGTAGAAAGAATCGAGTCATAAATGCACAAGATGGACCAATGACTACAGATTCCTTCTGTTGATTAACAGTTTAAAGGTTCTATCGAATGTAATACTTACATAATATTAGACAACTTCATGACTTTATAACCCAAAGAAGGCCAAGTAAAACTATAAGTAACAATATCTCTTTAGTATCTCTATAGCAAACAGTTTTAATATCCTATACATGATACATTTTGATTTACCGTCTCGTACAACTGAATTCTTGGTATCAACAAAAGCATATTCAATTCTTGCAGCCTTTCAAATACCATGTGAGACAAAAAGGCTATCATGCAATCTCCATATATATATATTGCCAACCTTCATGCACTTGTTTTCTGGGATACAAAAGTAGCTGCTCTCCAAGCTTTCCTCTTGAAGATAGTATGGCAATTTATCTTCGCTATCCCTCATATCTTGTCAGGCAACTGGAAAGGTCAAGGATCCATGATAACAACACATTTTCTTATAGTTACACTAAACATTTGATTTATTATATGGCCTCTTCTTTGGGAAAAATGGCTTCGAACAATGTATAATTGTACATGTACATGGAAAAGAACCGGCCAAAAGTTTGCATCAACCAGCTGCAAAGGACCTCGAGATCTTTGCGGCCAGGCTCTTGCAGAAGTATACATGTGTGTAATTCTGTCAACTGCTACCCTGAAGTAATGATGGTTGTGACTGTAATCTATCATCACTCCGAGAACTTGAAAGTTTCTGCAATGATCGGTACTGCAACCTGACATTTTCTCCACTATCCAAAATCTTCAGAAGATACCTAAAGAATGAAAGAGGGAAGCATGCATCAAAAATAATAGGCAAAAATCAGAATGATGCTATATTCTTCATCATTGTTAAAAAGAGCTTCTTGAACATGTCCTTATCATCAATGGAAATAAAAACCCACTCTTTATCCACAACCACTCTAAATTCTGCTAAAAAATAAAGATTAATTACATTTTGGTACCCTGATGTAGGGTGTAATTACACAGGTGACTCTAGAGTCACCATTGTAGTTACACCATACCTCAGAGTAATGGAATGTATTTAATCTAAAAAATTTAATCATATTCGTCCATTTAGTTAATTCAAGAGCTATCTTCATCACTTAGTTAATCATTATCATATCCTTTTTAATTACTTCCAACTAAGTTCTCTTGTGTCACACTTTAGTTTTCTATCCATTGATTATAATCCTATAACTTCTGCTGTATTTAGTGCCTTCCTGTTGGGATATGTCTTGCATTTGTTTAGTGTCCAATGGGTTTAAGCCCGGTGGCCTTTGGGCTAAGTTAGTGATAGGGTTTAGCAAATACATAAGTATCTCTATGATAGACTTGAGAGGAGATTGAAGGTTTGGAATAAAACATGAGATGGTGGCATGTGTGCATATGATGTTGAGAGATGGAGAAATATGAGTGATCTCGCATATATTGTTTTCTCATATGTAGTCGATTTCTCGTGTTGTTACCCAAAGATGTGGTACCCGAAGATGTGGCACATGTTTTCAATGGGGAGTTTTGAGCTACATTCCCATACGCGCGGCTCAGATACGGGCGGGCCAATAGGTAGATTGTTAGGATGTCTCGTATCTGTTTACTTTCTAATAGGCTTCAAACCTAGCAGGCCTTTAGACAGTTAGTGCTAACGTTTCGCGCTATGTAAGTATCCCTTATATGAGACTTGAGAGGAGATTGAGGGCTTTGGATAGAACATGAGATGGTGGCTACGTGTGTGTGAGATTAAGAGATGAAGAGATATAAGTGGTTTCTCTTGTAATTTTCTCTCTCAGACATAGTGAATCTCTTGTGTTGTTGCTCTGTAGAAGTAGGTTAAATTTGGTCAACTACACCATGTAAATCTCGATGTTTTTCTTGGTTATTCTTTTTATCTTGTGAGCCTATGGTTTTGATCTCCTGGTTGCAGAGATCAAAGTAGGGGACCATCAATCCCTAATCCCTCCATTGCACATGAGAAAATCTTCTATTGGTTTTCTCCTAGGTTGCACAAACACGGGTGCCGACACAAACACAGGACACGATAGATTTTTTAAAAGTAGAATACAAGGGTAACTATATATTTACAATTTACATTAGATCAAATATTAAATTCAAGTACCTAATATTTGTTGCACAAACACGGGTGCCGACACAAACACAGGACACGATAGATTTTTTAAAAGTAGAATACAAGGATAACGATAGATTTTCTTTTATTGTCTATAACTGCTAAGAATTAAGTTAAATCAAATAAAGAATTAAGATCTTTTTTCGTTGTCGTCTTCGTCGAGCAACTGGGAATGGAGACCTTTCTTCCTTTCTTGGGTTCGAAGAAGATGACATGGGAACAGTGCAAAAAAGGTAGAATCACGTATAGTTTTGATCATATGGGATATTGTGGCCATTTTTCAAAATTTTAATTAATGCGTTTTAGTTTTTGAGTTCAAAGCTCTATTGGTTTTGAGCCCGATATACCAAAAAAACTAGTTTAGGGTTGTAAGTAATGGGAAAATCAGGTTTCGCTTTGAACAAATGTGTCCATAGCATGTCAGCCACGGATACGACACCCAAAATGAAGTGTCTACGTGACCAAGATTCTCTTTGATTTTATCCTTGAATAGGTGCAACCTCTAGACATAGGTAAGAAACCAAAAAAAACTTAAAAGATGAGCAACTATTCCTCCATAATTTTCTACTTTTCCCCAAAACTTCACAACCTGAAACTAAAAAAATACCTACTTAGACTCATAATTAGGTAAGAAATTTCATAATTCCAAATACAGTAGAAATTTAAATTAGATTAGGATTTAATTTTTTCCCTCATATATCATTCCTTGTTAAAATTCTATTAGGATAGGATTTCTTCATTTGTATGTTTTGACTCATGTAGGTGTCCAAACGGATTGGATACGGTTCGAATATAATACTTATCATATCCATATCCTCTTACCAATCATGGATATAGATATGTCTCAGTTAGGAAACATGTATTCATATCCGCTAAATTCAAATATGGATATGAATCAAATGAGAGAAAATATAAGGAAAACGAATATGAGAACATTTAAGATTGAAAAAATGTAGGTCACTTGATACAATAGTATCAACTAATATGTTTGATGTATTTGAAAATCTAAGAGTAGATCTATAGATCATCAAAATCCTCAAATCCATTAATCTAATGGCCAAAACAATTGCAACTCTACGATTTACATATATTCAAAATTTTCAGATATGGATCCGGATATTTCACTCCACAACAATATTTGTGTTTGTATCCTTTCGGATATAGATATTTGATAACCACGCCTATAATGCAATGGATATGAATACATGGATATATCTGCGGAAAGAATATTTTGCACCCCCTATACATGAGCCTATATAAATAGTGTAGTTTAGTTTGTTCTCGAACTTTTGTTTTCTTTAAGTGGAAAAGGATTCACTTATATTGCTTTTCTATCTTCTTTGTTTCCCTCATTTATTGTTATCAGAGGATTGAATTGTAATTTGTGTTGTTAATATAACCAACCAACGTGGTGATTTTGGTTTCATCATTAGGAACCATTAATTGCGGATCTTTAAGCTCGCCAGACATTCTCTTGGCTTATACTCCTAAACTTTACCTCCATACTGCATTCATGGTAAAACCCATAGTCAATGCAGATAGCTTGACAATAGGTGGCTCAGTCAGTGGGTCATAAAAAGAACAGATGCAAAAGTTTGATGGGTTAAAGCCTCGGATGGCTGCACAAAGTTTTGATGTGTCATTTTCAGTCTTAGTAAGGAACTATTAAATGGGCAGACCATCAGGATTGTTAACCATTTGCTTGATAAATAACTGGCAGCATTTCAGTCCTAATGCTCTACATCTGGAGATGATGGATTGCATAAATTGGACTTGAGTGCAGAAAAAAGACTGGTGATGAAGTATGCAAGTGTATCATGGTCGTGAAAATTTCCCATATATATTACCAAATCAAGCATAGCATCAAAGAAGCAGATTCAAAATATTATATATTGAAGGCAGAATGGACTTCTCTATGATCTAATTCTCATGTTATTAAGCATAGACAGGGAACTCTTCGTGGAATCATGTTAGGAAATTACATTGCTTTTCTGAAGTGAATTACTGGGTGTGAAAATTGTCAGGCAAGGTGTTTGCAGCATAGATTCTTTCTAAGGAGTAAAGATCAGGACTATGACAGTTCATCTGACACGCTTAAGATACTCCAAGCAAGAGAAGGATCATGCAATCATGTATCGAAACTTAAACAGGAAAAGGAAATTTAATAAATGCATTCAATCGTGTTTTGGTTCTTAGTTGGATGACGCTTAATTGAGCACTTATAGGACCAGAAGATGATCATATACTGACATTATAATATGTATAGGAGGGTGCACAGTGTTCCGTATGTGTCAGAGAGAGTGTGTGTGTGTGTTTAGATGTGAGTGAGGGGATGGTTGATATATCATTAAACATGCCCCACCCTCATAATGATTTTTTTCATGAGTTAAATACAAAAAATCAAGTATGATTATTAATCCATACGACCCATAAGATTTAAAAGAAAATGGAAAATAGGAAAATTTTCACTAAAAAGAAGGAAAATAAACTAGGAAAAATAAAAAATAAAAGATAAATCAGGATTCAAGGTAATGAAAAACTCACCATCCATTCAAACATTGAGACGTGATCACTGCCTGTCGTCCAACAAATTTATCTGGAGTTCTTCTGTTCCCCTGCATGGTGTTTCCCATTATTATTGCTTCTTTTTCCAAATAAATATCAGTACCCCAAAAAAAACCTTTTCATTAAACTAGTTTTAGTTAAAGAAAAAAGTACCTTGATCAGAACTTTCTCACTAACAGCAAACGGATATTGAACTCCTTTTAGATGCCTGATAATGTCACCATCAGGTGAAATCTCCCCATGGTCCTGTAGCAAAATTGGGAGGGAGACGGTTGGTTATCAATTAGGGGGGAAAAAGTCAAAGGTAAGTAAATACGCCAGCTGTCCAACATGGTTTCAAAAGTACTAACTTCTTTCCTCCGCTTCCGGAGAGTGGCACTATGGAAGAGTCTTCTGTCATCCTCATTCTTAACTACCGCAGCAGCACTTCTCAAAGCTGTACATGAAATTAGTCACTAGTACTCATATATGGGGATAAGAAAATATTAAAATCAAGCATATTAAAAAAATCACCATATTAGCATGTACCAAGGTTAGGGATTAAGGACTTTGCGCTCGTCTCTATTTCTGCATTACAAAGGGTACATCTGGCCTGAATGGCAAAGGACAAAATAAGACGTCTCTTTCCTTATAAAAAGAATTAGTAAATCTACATCACAACTATTTCACAGCACCCAAAAGGCTATATAGAATGGTGGTACTTTTTCCAGTTCTACTTTACTTTCGCATAACTTGAGAAGTGAAAAAGAAGGAAAGGCTATAGCAATGTACTAGGGTAGGATGGTCCGACAACAGTTCCTTGACCCAAAAGTTCTCTATTTTTTTCCAAGTTTCCCATGTCCTTTTCTAACATGGGCATTTTCATCAATCTATGTTGCATGGGTGAGCATCTTCATCAATCTATGTTGCATATGTATGGGTACGGGACATGACAAATTTATGACAAATTTGTAAAAGATAGGGTACGAAGACACGTCTATATAAATATTTATATACACATATACATATTATAAATTGGAATTAATAATTTACATTAGATCAATATTGTTTTCATTCACCTCTTATGAGAATTAAAGTCCCTGTAACATTTCCATCATATTTTTTATGTTTCTTTTATTATGTGGATTATAAATTGGAAAACCACTAAGTTTTTGAACTAGACATCCAAACGACCCTTTAAAATCATAGTTCGGAACCTAACCTATATCCAATGAGTTTCAAAAAATGGATGTGAAGTGTAAGATATATGTTCAAAAAAAGGTATGACAAGTGTTTTAAATTAAAACATGTATTGTATAATTGTGTAGATGCCTGAATAAATGTATGCATATATGCAAGTAGTGTCCAAGGCGTTTGGGTATGGGTACGAGTACTAATACGAGTACTTGTAGGTTACAAGTATGGCACTCTGATAGAAGTACTCAGGTAACATAGCCATCAATTGAGATGTTCTTCAGTTCAACTCTTTTGAGTTTAAGCCAACCTTTGCTTGTCCAGAGAATTCTGTTTTTACGCCTTTCTTGCAAGAAAAAATTGCGTTCTTTATTTTTTTCCCAGCCTACCCACGTTAAGGAGAATGGCTAGAATAACCTCAAGTCCTTGATAAAGCTATCCACCTTGTTCCCTAAAAGTCTTAACTAAATATCCCTTAACCGACTATTGATATAACTATAAATTTTACTTAAATTGGGATATTAATATGAACTAACAATGAACTCAAATATGAAAGATCTGAAAAACCAGAAAAAAAAATAAAAATAAAAGAATGGATGGGAAAGGTACTGAACATACCATATCCAAGACTTTTTTAAGCATGTGACCCCCAAACGAATGTCCACATGATACAACCATAGCATCTTCAAGGAAAGCCCCTCTATAACAATACAATAGCATGGTGCAGATCAATAAATCAATATCATGTTGGCAGTGGCACATACACAATAAAGAAAAGAGATTAAAACTTCCTCCAGATGCAACAATATGGACCAAAAAATAAACAAAATGAAACAAAAGAGAGATAAGGTTGTTTTTCTGTCATTATCTAACGATAATAAAACACAACAACCCATTATATGTGCTTTCGCATTCACATATTTAATGCAAGGTGTATTTTCCTCCTTTATACCAGATCCATAGAAACGATGTTATTAAAAGTAATAGTTCAGAATCAGTTGGATGGTAACACAAATATAGAAACCAAGAAGTCGTTGATGAAGAGAAAGGTCTGATGCAAAGGATGATATTCTTTTAAGTAAAAGTAAATAGTATTAGGTCTATGACATAGCAACACCAATTGCTGATAATAGGAGCAAAAAGAAGTACCATCTCTAAGAGAACAAATATGACTTCCAACGGACAAAGTACACAATCTAAGGAGTTCACTAGATTAACAAGAAGGGGGGAACTAGAGCTTCAGATCAGCAAGAAGAAAATAACTTCATAGTTAAATCAGGTGATACAAAAGGAAAATGGAAATAAAACATAAAAAATTAATATATGAAAAAAGGAGAGCAAAGAGGAGAGAAAAGGATGGTTGTTGGTAATTGGACTAAAGCATGATAAAAATTTACGAAAACGGAGAACCAAGACTGAGCTCAATATGTACTGAATCCCATAATTTACTGACTCATCAACTTACAAATAAAACTGTACGGTCCAAGAGGATTGCCCTGACACATGAGGAACTAATTCTTCTGTACTAGCACCACAGACTAGAAGACGTGTAGACAGGGAAACAAAACAAAAATGTAAGTCTAATATAGACATGAAATGGAATGGTCAAGTGCAATGTGTCCAACATGTGTGCCTCGGTAAGGCTACTGGGTAAAAGTGCTCCAAATACTCTAGTGAACCTTTTGTTTTCTTATTATAGTTACAGTACTTTCTATATGTATGATAAAATTCAAAAAGACAATGCTTGCAATAAAAAAGCAATGCCAAAATTAACCATTCTACGCAATATAATCTGCCGTACTCTACGCATGTTGCACCAGAACTAATTTAATAGGTACATAAAACCAAATTTCAGGTTAGTGCCAAGCTCTTATGAAATTGCTTGTGAGAGAATAATGCAGCCTGCTACAAAGCCTTCGGCAATTATAGTACTCGAGAATGTCCAGTTAAATCACATAGAATTCATACATTTGCCTTTTTGTGTTTAATAAATTGGAACAATAAAAACATGCAAATTGTTAATATTCCCAATGCTTGCAGAAAACATGTCTGAATGAAATAATAGTTCATGCTGATACCAAAATTGTGTAAGAAATTAAGTTTATGTAGTAGTAATAACACCTATTTAACATGAAATCAAATTTAATAAGTATAAATTAGATAATGTTAACATAAAAAAAGCATCAAAAACCAAGACTTACGACAACGGGTCAGAAAGGATGCTCCTCAATGATGGTTCCTTAACAAGATTGTTCGAAGATTCCTACATTTTTAAATTTGAAAAGCTTGTCAATGAACATGGTGCAGTATTACATGCTTTTGGTTGAAATATTTATTATTAAAAACTGCTACATCAGATGGAAGCTCTACCAAAGGAAAGAGATTAGAAACAAGAAATCTGCATGGCACGTCAAAGCTTTAAGAAAATAACTTCACACACCTGTAGTTATATAGAATAGAAGTAAATATACCATCATATGGTGTCCAACCATACAATAAAAAAAAATAACTGGAATTTTGTTTTGTTGCTTAAAAATACCACTAAAATGCGTCAACAACATCCAATAAACTTATTTTCTCCTAAGATTTATATGAAACCATAAACAGACACTTTATAGCAAGAGTTCTGCAAGACTGTCTAAACACTTTTTCATGAATTACATGTAAAATTCCATACATTTTTCCACCTCTCTCAGTTTCAGACACCCTTGGGTTTGACTTAAGCTTGAACCTTGATTTCCATAATTCTTTTATGCCTTGATATGACCCAGAGGTTTTCCAATACCGAAACAAGCAGTGACCAGTTGCTACTGGCATGACCATTCTTCAGATCTGATCTGACTGGTTCCATGTTATAACCCACCACCAAGGTCCAACTTTTTTAACTCAGACGTTACGAGGTAAGACCTAGTTAAAATCCAGTTTGTTCAATATTTAAGGCCTAAACCAGTATTTTAACTGATATATCATGTTGAATTCTTAGATCTAATCGTAATTGTTTCCATGTTAAATTTCTCCGCCTATGTCCAACTTTTGACTCAAATTTTACATGTCAAATCTAGTTATAATGTTATATTCCAAGACACTCAATTCCCACAAACCAGCATTTTGAACTACAGCCATCATATCGCTCCTTGTTTTATCTCTACTACTACAATGCAAAACTCCTATGGGGTTTGCAATGTAATATGCAATTGAATTGTGTCTCGTGGTCAGCAAAAGGTCCCAATTCTTACTGAATTGCACCTGATTAAGTTTATAACATTGCTTTGGTGGAGTTCTGAGTTGTAAAAAATCCAACGCATGTTCAGACATTCTGAGAGCAAAGCACGGTTTAGAATCAGATCCAGTATCTGAAGTGCTGTCCAAAATTTTTGGATCAAGACAATTTAGACAAAAGCATGGTCTAGAATTAGATCCGTAACTGAAGTGTGGTTCAATTTTTTTGAATCAATAAGATAGAAAATCAGATGATTGCACATTGTGAACTGTGAGGTTTGCTTTCTAAATTCTACTTGTTGTCTACTTGATCCAATAATATACATTCTTCTGATTCAGACTTGTACTTAAAAACTTGAAGTTTCTGAGATTTCTGATCTATACTGGAAGCGTTTTTTTTTTTTTTTTTTTTTGCAAAAGCTGCAGTATCCTGCTATTTTATTGAGACAACCAATTTCTGAACTTCTGTAAGTTTTCTCGCTCTGCCTGTCGTTGCATTGGGCTTAGTGTTTTGTTTAAGTGGAGGGTTGGGATGTGAGTTGGGGTTATGATGAGATGTTGAGATTAAATTAGAAAGTTAAATAAAATGGGCTTCACACCCTCAAATAAGTAATTCACACCAAATTTAAATCTCAGAATTTTCATATCAAAATAGTCTTCCTTCTATGAGGCTTACAACATTATTTATAGAAAAATATAACAATTAACAAGATCAAATCAAATCTGTATATGGACTTTCGAATCGTACAAAAAAATAAAAAATAACATCACTAAGATCATAGAGAATAAATCTAGAATCAAGCATATCCTCCCGTTCTTATCATGTCCTTTCCTCTGGAGTATCTCTTCCTTGGATTCCCATCATAAAGTTATTTGCATATCTCAGTTCCACACTAAAATAAAATGAAAAGGAAACTACTTGTCATTATTTAATTTATCTGAACTAATTCAATTTATTTGCATATCTCAGTTCCACACTAAAATAAAATGAAAAGGAAACTATTTGTCATTATTTAATTTGTCTGAACTAATTCAATTTATTTGCATATCTCAGTTCCACACTAAAATAAAATGAAAAGATAACTACTTGTCATTATCTCAGTTCAACACTAAAATAAAATGAAGAGGAAACTACTTGTCATTATTTAATTTGTCTGAACTAATTCAATTTTGAAATGGAAACTACTTGTCATTATATAATTAATTCGATAGATTAAAATAAGCATAAGAGTATATTTTCCTTCATGGTCCTTTCCAAACAATTAGGGGTTCATGGGCTCCGAAAAAGCGCCTCGGGAAGGCAGGTCGTGCTTCTAGCAAGGAAGCAAGACCTGCCACAATCAAAACCAAGCTACCTCATTAGTGATCAGAAACTTAGTGTACTACAGTTTTTCATGGTTCTATCAAACAATAATGCTACTGTACAGTTCAATAAAAAAAAGACAAAGGTTTTTATTTTCCACTATTATGCCTTCGTCTACTCCCGTATTTCACAATAACAGCAAAGCATTGACCCCATAGCATCTGGAAAGCAAAAGGGGGAAAAAGATATACTAAACTTACATATACATTGTTTGGAAGGCTGCACATTATATCTTCTTCAGCAGACAAGTCATCCATAAACTGGCTCACACTTATTGGCTGATAATTTTGTTGAATTACATGGCCAGCTGCTGCAATTGGAGAACAATCCAATACAGCGTTTGATTGAGGCATAAGCCTGAATGTCAATGATGCCCTACACAGAAAGAAAGTCTTCACATAAATGTCTAAAAACAATTCAGCTTTCAGTAGACAGAGAGGACAACACTAATTAAGTGAATATGTACCTTCCACCATTAATGTTTCCACAAGAGTCAGCAGCAGTTTTATATGAAGAAGCAGGGCGAAGACCAGCAGTAGCATAACTCAGTGCCCTCCCTGTAAGCAACAAAAGCTCTCCAGTACCTGAATACCCATCTGCTAGATACCAATGACCATTTGGGTCACATACCTATTGAAAAAAGTGACAGGAAACGGTTTGAAGGAATAAGTATCTTAAAAATGCAAAGCAATCGCATAATCATGAGAAATGAGATGCAAATAGTATTCCTGACTTGTGAAACAAGTTGAATAAATAACTTATACCAAAAATTTAAAGTAATGAATAGCAAGTACACCTAAAAAATTTCAAACAAAGAGCATACAGGAACACAAAATTACCTGGATCCCAGGATTGTCAGAAGCTATTAATGTCAAAAGTCCCTTCTCTACCTCATGATTTGAAGACTTGCCTCCCACAGAACCTTTGCCACTTTGTAAAGAAGCATTAGAATACGTAGCAACTAACACTGATGATGAGACCTCATTTACAGGCAAAGGTGTATCATCAAGTAAGTGGTTGAAAGCGCTGCAAAGAAAATATCATATGCACAACTAATTGAAGTTATTAAACTTAGAATTGTTGAAATATAATATCCGCACAAACTACTCTTACTCGCTGCGCAAACGAAGATGCCGAGCTACTGCACATAATGCAGCACGTGCTACCTTCCCCAAACATCTGAAAGCATCGCTCATGCATGGGGGTGACAAGTCACCATCTTCTAAAGCTCTAACAAACAATAAGATAAAAATAATATATATTGTAGCATGAAAAAAGTGTTTCACCCATCATTGATGAAAAGCCCATAACACAGGGATCCAACTCTATTACTGAGAAAATAGTAACGACAATCGAGAAGATATTGAGAGACTTTCTGAAGATGTTAATCTAATCCACATTCCATACAAAAATGTTGTTCTTCCATGCTCAAATTTGACGCCTTCTATTAGTCTACTAGATATAGCCATTGCACTCCACCTACCAGCATTTTATGTCCGAGTATGGTTTGACGAAAGTGATGTATACATATGCTTAGGATACGTAGACAGCAAAACAGTTGCTTACGCATTGGAAACATTTTATATATATTATATATATAATATATATATATTATATATATATATATATATATATATATATGATATATATATATATATATAATTATATCTATATATATATTGTGTGTGTGTGTGTGTGTGTGCTCGTGTGTGCTGTGCATGGCTGTGTGTGTGTGTGAATGAGTGGCTATATAGGGTGGGGCTCTTTAGCAATAATGAGCTACCTAGGAAGAATTAGAAAGGTGAGGCTCGCACACCTGTTGATGGTGTGCTGTGCGCACCGATATTATAATATGTATATATATATATATATATATATATATAATTTTTATTATAATACTATGAGTAATATAATATGATATATATATATAAATATCCTCTACAGAGAGAAGGAATCTCCTACTCCAAAATTTATAACAGTTAGATTTAATTTTCGATTGCTAGCGATCACAAGGACTATATTGCAATAAATCAAGCAAATTAAGTAACAATGGGCAACATTGTCATTAAAGCTAATATTTCAAATAATCCGAATCTAACAGTTGTTTCCTTTTCTTTATCACTGGTGAACAGTTACCATTTTTATCACACAGATGCCAAAGCCCATGGAACCACAATCAAGTCTATGTGAAAAATTATGAGAATCACTATGAAGAATATGATCTATGGTTACTTCCATCATTAAAAGACTTTTAAGTTCCCTATCAGGTGTAACAAGAGAAGTAAATTAACATTGGAGAGCACAGTTAATAAAAGATAGGCAATTGTCATTAATTTCTAAAATGGAACAAGTTTAATGACCAAAATCATCCACGTTGGTCATATATATTTCTGGTCTGGAGTAGATTTTAATGTTTGAGATTAGAACTAGTTTGCAAGGAAGAAGATGATGCAGTGAAAGAATTTAGCACATGAATTCACTTGAACTGATTATCCATGAACAACTAACGAATTCACTGCTAACCCATAAATAAACACGCCACATCCCGATGGAAAAAACTAATAACACTATGCTGACAAAAAGCTAAGGATCATGCAGGGAAGAAGCAACCCTTCAAACTTCATTTAGTTGAAATTAGAGGCCTGAAGAAGCAGGGAGATTATTTCTCTGCAAGAGTTGCATTCATTCCCTGGGAAAACTAAGAGCCACGGCTCACACCGACACATGCACATTACCATACTGAAAACTATTCGAGCATACAAGTCTATGGCTCGTAAGTGTCAAAGTGACAAGGTGTTTTTAGAAACCCATACTAAGCTTCGCTTCGTCACTTTCTCGATTGTCAATTCGAGATAACAGAAACAAGAGCAAGAGGAACAAGCACGACGTTAGGGTCCACTTAGTCGATTGTCGACTTTTTAGAAATATATGGATCGCCCCCACTAACAACATGTTTTTAGGTATCTTACAATCCCAGTTCGCCCTCCCAGTCGCAAGCGAGTGGCGATGGTGCTGATTTCAGCATCACAGTGTTCTCATAGGGCTAAGTGCAGAGCAAAGGAAAAGGGACGACGTTTGGATTGCGGTGTTGGCTCAGTGCTAGATCTAAGTTTGACGGAATTGGAAGCCAATTTAGAGGGCGGTGCCGCGTTTCCACCCTCTAACAAATGCTCTTGCACAAAATTCAATCTCAAATTCACGCATAAGACAACAGAAAACACAGTCATGGCTGAATCAAAACCTCACCTCCCAGCTCGATACGTGTAAAACCCTCGCCCCGACTTCCCCAACTGCGCCCTCGCCTTGAAGAACATCCTCACAGATTCCAGCGCACACCTCATCACCAACCCCTCCTCAGCGCCAACCTCGATCAGAGCCGCATTATACCTCATCAGAGACCCCGCCAACGCCTCGACCGCCTTTATGTAGCTCCCATTCGGCGATCCCTCGAACGGCGCGATATCAGAGAGCTTCACTCGCCCGATTGAGGCGGTTTCGGCCTGGTCTTGGATGGGATTGAGGGGGACGAGGCCGAGGGAGAGGGATTGGAGAGGAGTCGGAGGGGATCTTGAGGAAGAGGGGGGCACCTTCAAGAGGTTGGCGTTGGAGAGAAGCGCCGATCCGTTCGTCATTTTGGGCGAACTGGGGAGGGTTTGAGGAGCGGGCTCGAGAATCATTTGGGCACCGCCGGGGTGATATTTTTCCGGGGGTTTCCACTGCGTGCTGATGGAAGAAGGGGAAACGGTGGTAATAACATGCTCCTCGGGATATCTGTCGTCGGTTTCCATTTCAGAACCGCAAGAAAACACCCAGAACTTCGATGGATTTTTGCGCATAAACCCCTGAACTTGGGGTTTCTAACTAGAGCCCCTATCTTTAGTTGGCGAACAAGTAGCGTTTTCTAACAGAAAAACGCAAATTCCTTAATTTATAGTGGCTTTTTTTTTTCGTTCACCGGGAACATGCCGATCTCCCCCAAAGTGTGGGTTTCTTCTTGCAAAAAAGAACGCCTGAGTTACTTTAAAGTTCAAGGGTTGTTCAAGAGTTTATGTGAGAATGATACGATAATTTTTAACCCACACTTTAGGAGCGTTTCCAATGATACAATACGATAATTTTTAACATCAAAAAATTAACGATACGATAATTTTTTTTATTATCGATGTTAAAAATCTCGCTATCATTTTTTATCAGTTCTAAGCTTTTGCGAGGATGAGCATTTCCAATGAGTTCTCGAGGAGTAGGCATTCCCACTTAGACATGGTGAGATGAGCCGGGGAATAAACTAAAAATCATGTTTGGTAAGAGGTTTCTGAAGAAAGAGATGACATGAGATGAGATGAAGCGAAAGAATAGACAAGATAAAATGAATATTTAATCTATAGAGAGACGAACTCCTCTAAATTGATAAGACACAAAACAAAAGCAAACTAAAAAAATCCACCTCCCCACATCTCTCCCCCAACCAAACATGAAGGCCAAAAGGAATATCCAATACCCTACCTAATTGCACTTCCCTCACCATACCCTCAAGCAAACCAAGCCACGGGAATAAAAAGGAATATGCAACTTCCAAATGTATTGATTCCCACTTCATCCCACATTAATTATTTCATGTTTCGTTCAATTCTCACATCAGTTGACTCTCCCATACCAAGCGAGGTGTTAAAGGTTTCAATGACATATCCCTTAAATTCTTGAAATTATTAATGTTACTTCAAACCTTTTTTTACTTATCATGTTCAAACCTAGAGTGCATTTTGTTTGACTTATTTTGTTTCTTTTTGAGAAAAAGAGGAAGGCCAGAACAAAAATGACAGGTACATCAAAGCAATTATACCCCCAACACCAAAGGTATAATTGCAACAAGTTTATATCTTACATCAAATGGTTCATAACAACACCCCAAAGACAACTAACTGTTATCAAGTTACTAATTTTTTTTATCAATTAACCATATTACCAAAGAATTACAACAAATGTAAATAAATATTTCAGAATATCATAGTCACAAAAGAAATCGGATCCATAACCACTTTTAAAAATGAAAAAAATATATTCAACACCCAAAAAGGTCGAAAGTCACGGCAATCAGCGGCTCAACAAGAATACATGAACCCAGTTGAGCATAAAAATAAACATCAAAAGATATTACACATATATTCCACGACAAAACATGAACCCAGTTGACCACAAAATTACCAAAATATATCAGAAAAAGTTTATTTAAAAAAAAAATCAAAACTATTAAATACAGTCAAGCTCACCCACTGGTGGTAGTGCACAACACACAGCGCATCCAAGACCCACCAGAGTTGCCATCCTCATCACTATCATCACCATCATCACCAATATGCATTATATCTTCACTTCCTATATCAATACTATCCGCGCCACCCAGCAGGCAACTAACATGAAAAGCATGGCAACAAAAGAAAATAATGACCGAAAGGTTTTGAAGGGAGAAAGGATCAAAGCACAAGCAACATCTAGCACCACCCCTTGTTTTGGACTTAACATCCATCGTTCTTGAAGTTGGCATTATTGCCATCTCATTATTCGAAGTGTTATCTTCCCTTCTTCTTAGGGTTTCTTCTTCTATGCTGCTCAAATAAATTGCATGTCTGGCCTCTTTGTAGTACTTCATCAAAAGGTTAACACAGTCGGCCTATCAAGGTTTAATCTCAATCAGAGAAGACATGAGATAAAAGAAATGTGATGTTTATTAAGTATAGAAACTGTGAAAACCTTGAGAATATCATTTGCATCCGTGTCTCAGAGAAGTTTCTGTCCGATAATTCGTGATGATTTTGACAAGGCGATCTCTTAGCCTTAAGGGAAAAAAAACATTTTACTGTGTTTTTGACTTCTTGGGAAGTATAGCTTATTTGACGAATTTATCAGTCTGAGATGTGACAATTTAGTACTGCTAAAGAAACAAAGATAAATACGAACCTAGGTATCTGAACTCCATTTGGCACACGACTGACTATATATAGAGGATCCAAATTGCCAATAGTGTGTTCCAACAACATTCCTACCTGCCACATGTTCACACAGACAATGTAAGTGCTTGCACCGTTGCCAAAGCTAAAAAATTGAGTAACAGCATTGGAGATGACTTATGTACCATTTCAGGCTTGCGAAGACATTGCTTAATTAATTCCTCCCATAATTCATCATCATGCTGATTAGACACAATTGCTACTGCCTGCATAAGGTCCATTATGTTTTCATTCTCAATCACCTCGAAAGTCGTAGACTTTAATTCCAGTATGTCACATGCAAATAAGAAAGATGAACGCAAAAGGAAACTTGAAATATTTTTGTACATGCAGTGAACAAATGGACATACCTCCTCAATATCTTCTAATTTATCTATGATAACTGTAAGGGCTTTTTTTGTGTTTCCCATTCTCCCTAGAAGATAGGCCTGCTCTCTAGGAAGATCTTTCTTCACACAAATATCATATGCCTGAGAGGTAATTAAAAATCATGTCATTGTTTAGATTTCAAGCTGACAAGAATGTATCAAGAGTTTGTTCAGCTCCAAACCTTGTCAAGCCTATAATGTTCACTAAGACTAAGAAATGGAAGCGGCATCCGTGGTTCGTAATCCACATAAAGCTCTACCTACCACGTGAAAGTAAATGAATAACAATTAACTCAAAATCTTTTCAAAAGACAAAGGTTATAATCTACAAACTAACTAGTATAAACATAGAAGCACTTTGCATCCAAAATTGGTCCCAAGTGAAAATGAGAATGTGTCCTCTTTGAATCCAAATTGTGTTTTAGGGTTGATTGTGCTTTCTTATTGTGAAATTAGCATCTTTCCTTCTTCCAGACTCCTTGAAGCCAGGCTAATTTTAGAGGGCATCTCCCAGTTTGGATAAGCATAAATTGCAATGGGATAGGAAAAGAGGAGTTAAACAGTCACCGTCTATGACATATAACAAGTCTTCTCTTATCCATATATTCCTTGGATAGAAATTTGGCACATTTTTAGCGGGTTGAAATAGGTTGACATCAGGATGACATCTACTTCTAGTTTTTGGTCAATCTTTTAATAGAGCCTTTTGCAACCATGTTCCCTAGCTAACATCAATATAACATATGATGATGATGCTAATGATGATGAATCATGATTATACCTATTTACATGAATATCTTATTTAGACAAAGACACTGGAGTAGAGTTATTAGAGTTAAAATGTAAATGAATTAATAGATGTATTCATTCAGATTAATAAACATCAGTTATTCAACTTTACTCATGATACATACCAGACAATTTGACACTTAAATAAATATCATAACACATTTCTGGGGGATAAAAGAACATTATGTCTTTTACAACTGAGTATATCCTAAGCACAAGAAAAGCAACCATCCAATTTTGATGGTGGCCTATAGGAAACTCAATGACATAAGGTATTTAATCTTGAGAGACATCATGGTGCCATAAGTTTCTCTTTCTTCTAGAACAAGCTGCACAACTGACTAAAGAATCATGAAGACAGAACAAGGTGATAGAAAGTATACTTTTACCAGCAAAGATGTAAAAGCAGACAAAGGCCAAAGAATAAAAGGGCAATATACAAAGAGGCTCGGAATTCGTTCATACTGGAATAGAGGAAAAGCAGAGATAAAGTGTAAACAAAAATATTGCACGGAATAGTCAAGGAATTCTGAGTATTAAGCATACAATAAGTGAAGCCTAATTTGGCAATCAGGTCTCAGTTGTGAAACTGTGGTTTCATTTGATTAAACCACAAAAGCTGAACAACACGTTGTTAATGACATTTTGGGTTAGCAAAACTTTATGAAACCGGAAAATGTGTTTGGCAACCATTTCAAGGTTGGATAAACCATGTCTTCAAGCACAAAAGTTTGTCTTCCTAACCATAGCTTCACAAACTCCACTCCAAAGAAGTGTTGGTAACCACAAACTGGATGCAACCAAGGTTTGTATGCAAACTCTGGCTTGAATATAACTTGAAGTTTACCTTGGCAAACATGTTTGCCAAACTAGTGTGACAAGTTACCTGCAAATCATGGAACTCCCTTCCCGCATTAGGGTCAACTACAAATAGAGAATGCAAGTATAAATGTAAGAAATATTTGCTATCACACTTCTTAATGGCACCCATAAATTGTCCCACAACTTCAGGAGGAGGTATGATACTTGCTGTTGGATCAATAAAGACACTGCCTTTTTACTATCAAGTATCATAAGTTGAACAACCTGCAAGACATAAAAAATTGGTAAGAAATATTAAATAGTCAGATAAAATGAGAAAAACTTGGAAGTACAAAGCATAATTGTATGCAGTGATTGACTGCTACAAAATATTAAGGCTATCTTCACAAATATGCATAAAAAGCTTTCAAAAGGGGCATAGAAAAATAACTTCTTCTAGCATTAGATTGTAGTAAAATGGATCTGAAATGAGACAGAAAGAGCATTCTACAAGTATTTGCGAAGGGGGAAAAACTCCTTAGCAAAATTTCTTCTCTTTTGCTTATGTTGAGGAAATAAAATATTACTTGCCACTTAAGACATTCTCTTGTTTCACTGGATCTTTGGGAAGGAAACAGCTGAGGGCCAGTTTAATTAAATTATCTAGTATCAGTTAAAACTTGTCCATCAAAGTTGATAAATAGCAAGATAGGGAGGATACAATGATGCATCAATCACCTTGACCCCTAGATCTCATTATCAGAATCTGAAATACTCATTTTATAAATAGTAAGTCGATGTCACTTGTCTAGCAATCTATGATAAAACGATGACGGGAGGTATTTCATTTTTAGCTCGACGGTCATTTCTCGCCAAGTTAAAATTGGTAACTCACATCTAATATGTCTTAACGTTTCGAGGTTGGACCAATATTGGCAGGCGGCTCCCGTGAGATTCATTGCGACAAACTTGACTTTCCTCGGCTCCGTCGGGTCGTATCAATCGAAGTAGCGATCCATGTTTTTCAGCTAGTCCAAGTTGCGGGTCGAGCTTACCGTCAAAGGTTGGTGCGTTGTAATGCTCCTCAGGTATTGCGCATCTGAATCAGGCACAGGTTAATGTGCGGTTCCATGGGTGGTGTGTCCATAACCTTGACCTTGCGGCAGCAATGTTGCAACACGCACTTCTTCGAGCCTAGCAAACATTTCATAAGTTTCATTCTAGAACTATGTCAGGGTATCAAGGCTAGTTCTACACTCCTAGGCTACGACACCTAGTTGTTTCGCTAGTTCATTGAATTTCTTAAGGAGTTCGGACTCTACACTGTCTGACATGCTGGATTCACTAATCGATTCACTTGACTCTCCTAATCGATAGGGTAAACCTGTGCGAGTGGGCATGCACTAACAACTATATGAGATGCACTAACAACTAAATAAGATTATTTTTTTATCACAAATAAAAGACTCGATTAAACTAATCTAAAAATTTCCTAATATAGAACCACGCTCTGATACAAAAAATGATGTGAAACAATGTGTATGCAGGTAAGGATAACAGCGACAGCAATACTTCACCAAATCGACAATCGATCTAGGTAGGAAGCTCGAGAATAAAGTGAAGCTCCGGATAGTTTTTAAACAAAAGTTGCAAATGTACTAAGTTTAGACCAATGTAAATTATTCAGATAATAAATGTAATGATTTGTTCTCTTAATAAAGTTCGACTCGTAATATATAGATTTGCAGATATACTTGGCAACGGAATCACTCGCTCACTAAATCAAAAGAGAATACAGTACAATCGCAATTGATATTAATATTGATAGTAACATGCACGCAATAGCGGTTCCGAAAATACTAGGTCGAAAGAAAACTAAACCTTCGTCAGGCTGAACTGGTTCAACGTGAGGGACCTCTGGAGGCGGTGTAACAACACCAAATCTGGATGGCGGGAGTTTTCCTCCGAGAGCACGTAACTGGGATGAAGAGACGTGTCTGGATAGAAACATCGGTGCTACGAGCTAATCCCCAAATGACTCTCCACGTTCTTGGTAATCTGAGGAGTCACGCACTCAATGTATCCGGCTATGGTCTCGAACGGCTGATAATCGAACCACTGAGAGCTATAAATCAACTATGTCGGTCTCTGGATCGTACACGAACTGGACGTCTTCGGCTTCAGGATCGGTCATGCACCAAAGGGCCGCAGAATCAGAACTGGAATCGGCAATGAATGAGGCGCAGATCTGTCATCGTCAGGGCTACAACCACACAACGACTGGATGCGCAGATAACGAGAGGACGCGGGTGGCGTCGGAGCTGATCAGAAGTGGAGGAGTTTAGTGTGACTACTCGAGAGTGAAAGGGAGCAGGGACTGTTGTCAGCTTCTTTGAGGGATGCAGGTGGTTTTTTTAGAGGCTAGCGGAGGTGCTTGGAAGGATGGAGCACAAGGAGGGGAAAGGGTCAACGGGCTGTGTATGTGGAGGAGATCAGGGGAAGGGGAGGCGCTTGAAGTGGAGGAGACAGGGGC